TGAAACTCTGGCCTGCTCTGGGTCCCTGAGGAATTCATGTAGATTTTATAATTACTGGGCTCCAGAGAAAATCCTAAGCACAAAGCTCTATATGGTGAAAATGTTACAAAAATACTAGTTGCCTTATCTGTCTTCCTTAATGGTTGAGGTGCGTAGTCATCTTTTCATTACATTCATAAAATCATAAATGGTAAGTTGTAAGTACAGGAGACAAAAAACATACCTTTTTTTTTTTTACCATAATTAAAAAACACATTATCTCTGATCGTGAACAATGAACGTTATCACGCAGCCTATGGCCTTTGGTTCTACAGAGCTGTTTGCATGCTCGCATGCAGTGGGCCTCTTTGGTTTGCCTGGTGACCATGGAGAAGTACCCACAGGGCACAACTGTGCAGTGCAGCTGTCACAAATTTGAACAGTGTTGCTTCGAAATGCTGCTAACAGGTGGCTCTAAAATTTTAATAACTCAGATTGGAGATAGTATCAGAGGCCCAGGAGACTATAAATGGGCTCTATTCATGCTTCGTCTTTCCACCTAGATTATAAAACCAGAGGTAGAGGGAATCTTAGAGATCATCTCATAGATGAGCAAACTGAGGTATAGATACAATGAGTGATTTCACAGGTCACACAGCTAGTTAAGAGCCAAACCTGGTTTGGTTAGAGGTTAGAACCTCTCCTTCCATCCATTCCCCAGGATCTCTAGGTGTTTCTTTGAATACACTTCTTAATTTGCCAGATCTAAAGCTCTTAAGGGGCAACATGGTGTCCCACCTTTTAATATTTTATCCATCACAGCTCCCAGCAAAGAGCTTTACACAAAGCAGACCTCAAACTGACTGGCTGGCTGGTCTACCATTACAAATAACTGACCACCTACTTAGCAACCTCACATCTCTTCTTACTTGACTCTCCATATGAGCTCATTTAACTCACACAGAATGGCACAGTTATGAACTCCCCAATAGTTCAACAGGCCCGTACAACAAAGTCAGAGGGCATCCATTAGTCCCAGCTCCAAGCTGAGGCCTGCATGGCTGTCGCTTTAGTGTGAGTGTGGGTCCAGCCCATTAAACTCAGTTACCTTATATGTGTTTATGTCAGGGACAAAGCCAGCGGGCCTCTTAATAGGACATAATACAGAAAGAGAGGCCGGGCTCGACCCAGGCTGGAGCTGACCTTTAATTACGAGGGGTCTAAGATGGCCTGGGGCACTTCTGCTCTATGCTCCTGAGAGTCCAACAGAGGAATCAACTCCACCCACAGGCCTGGGATTGGTTAATATTAGTCACTAATATTCATGAGGGCCTCTCACTGCTGAGCAATCTATAAAAGTAGCCAGTGTGTTCACATTTTCCCTGGGAAGATACCAAAGAGTTCTATCTTGACATCAAACCCCTCATTGCAAGCGTGCTGTCACACCGTACCCTGTCACGGCCTCATCATTTCAGTTCTTTGTGCACACTGCCCTGATCTTTACCATCTCTAGACTTTGGCCTGAGATCTTTGCTGAGATCGTCCACGCTTTTTCTCAGACTGAGCCTATCCTTAAAATCCCAGCCCAGCCCTTGTCTTGTCCAGAAAACACCCCTGCTTGGCCCAGGCTCTGTTACCTATAGTACTCCGTTAACCCTCGGCATGTACACATTCCATTTGTAGGTGGCTTGGGCAACACGAGTGTCACCACAAACCACGCCATCTCCTTCCAGTGAGATGGTCTTCGCAGTGGACAGTGAGCTTCCTGGTGTCGGCAACCCCATCGTCTGCATCCACCATGTCTACATGGACCCCACCAAAGAACGAACCCAGGGTGGAGCTCTATGAACAATGGGCAGCCAGTCCATGGGGCTAACGCCACTGGCTGTAGGAGACGGACGCACTGACCTCTTCCCTGTTACTCACCTCATTCAGCTTGACCCAGTTGAAGGACTTCAGCGGGTGGGAAGGTTGGGGGACACACTTCTTCCTGAGTGGGATGTCACTACTGGGGAAGGGGTCTGGAGGGAGGGGCAGGCCCATGCTGAAGCAGGGTGGGGCGCCAGGGGGAGTGGGGGGCCCACCAGGTGGAAGGGGTGGTGGTGGCGGTGGGGGGCAGCAGGCGAAAGGTAGAGGGGGTGGGGGTGGAGGCAGGTCATTGGTTGTCATCGAGGAAGACAAGGTAAGTGGGCCCCCAGGGGGAGGTGGGGAAGATATAGGTCCTGTCTGTGGGGAGACAGAAAAATCAAAACCACAAAGCCATCAGCAATGATACCTTTCAGGTCCCTCACCATTATTCCTTTCCTTACTCTTACCCTCCATCTACACTAGGCTCCCCCAATCCTGCTCTTACCTCCCACATACAATTAGCCCCCATTTTCTCTATCTGTATCCCAAACATTCAACACACACACACACACACGTCAAAGCCTCATACACAGACACTGGACAAAGTCACGGTCATCACAAGGCAGCAGCAAAGTTGACACATAGTTGAGGGCAGTGGCGGGGGGCCAAAATCCCGCCTGCACTCTGCTCCCAAGGTGTGCTTCCTGGGACAGCGTCACTCAGAGGAAGAAGCATCGTTTTTTTTCTAAGTAACACAAAGGTGCCGCCCTTAGAGCCTCAGGCGTCCCCTCTATGCTGGGCTGAGGACCCCTCTCTCATCTCCCTTATCTGGGGTCCTTGGCCCCTCCTTACACCTGTTCTTCCCACCATATCCTGAAGGTCTTGGCTCAATTCTGTAAAAGGAGACGGGAGTGCCCACGTACCGAGATTTCACTGAGTTGGGCCACCAGCTCAGCCACTTGTCCCCGAGCCTGGCGCAGCTCCTGGGACTCTCGAGCCAGCTTGTCCTTCATCTTGTTCAGCGTCCGCATCATCTCTTCCTTCTCCAACGTCTTTGTCTCACATTCTCGCTCTTTCCTCTCCAGCCTGCTCACCAGCTCCGTGTGTTCTGGGATGGGGGAGGGACCGCAGAGGAAATGGAGGGAAAGAATGTGAATATGTGTGTCCCCCTCCAAAGGAGGAGGTGAGTCCTGGATAGGGACAAGGTACGCAGAGTGTGCAGCGGGTTTAGGCAGAGATCCTCACCTTTCCGGAACTTCTCTGCCTGGTCTCGCCACTGTTTCACTTCATTCTCATTGATGAGCCTGGTGGGAAGTAGAGGGAAGGGTCTTTGGAACGCTGGCTCATAGCCTCCCAGATGACATGTCATCTTCCTGTTCCCCACATTGGTACCCTGATCTCTGATCTGTCCAGCCATATCAAGGTAGATAGGATTTTGACTCTCCAGATGTTTCTCCAGGTCCCCATCCCTGCCCAGTTCTCTTTATGTGTCTCTCTGTGTGCTGTAAAAGCCCTTAGGTACCTTCTAATATATCCTCTCTGTAAAAAGTTGAGGCTCCTGAGACCAGAGATGGAGACAACAGCTAACTAATGGTAGAACAAGCACTAAATCTCAGGCTTCCCTTAGCTGTAGAGTGATTTGTACCCTTTGGAAAAATAGGTTTTTGCATGGATAGAGATAAAAATATTGGGCCTACCATGGCCCAGGCTTCCAGAAACCAGCGTGTAAGAGAAATCACCCACCGCAACAACACAGAATGAGTGTGTTGAGGGAGAACAGGGGATGGGTCTAATCACAGGAAGTCCTCGTTCATGTCAAACTCTTGCAACGGGGGTTAAAAATAAGCTTTTACCTAGACACCAAGGTATAACAAGAGAGAGAAAATCCCAAGATGAAATCCCGATAATCATTTCTTGTTTAAATCTAAAATTGTGGAAGAGCCACGACTCTTGGCTTCCTCAACAAGATCAAGGATATAAAGAAGGGACAGAGCATGGAGGGAGAAGTAATTTATGCAGGGATTTCTTTGGCGAGAGCCATAACCATCAGCCGGTGAAGTGGCTTCTTTGGGCTACTCAGAGGGTTTTGACCCATGTTCCTTGACATTGGGTGGGAGGCGTGGTGGACTGGGGTCTGACGTGAGGTCACGCAGGTCCAGAGAGGGAAGAAGCATTAAGCAAAAGGACACTGCTGAGCTGGGACCTGTCGGCAGTCCTGGAGTTTGTAAACATGAGAGACTGCATGAGGGTTTCTCATAGGTCAGATGTCAGCATCGCTGAGGAACTGGCCTAAAGCTATTTGAAGTCCTGTCCAAGAAGTCCACCTGGGAGACAAATAGACCCTTCAGCAATGTAAATCTGTGTGTACTGTATTGCCAATGAATCAGGAGCTGATGGAAGGGATGGTACCAGCCAGCTCTGGAGGTAAAACAAAACAGAAAAGAAAAGCCCACCTTGCATGGCTAGTGACCAGGGCTTCATAGCGAGAGGCAGCCAGCAAGGAACTTCTGAAGATCCAAGAAATACATTTCACATCTTGACCCATGTGCCAAGCCAGGAGAAGGAGGCCTGTTTACTAAGTTACCTGATCAAGTAAGACCTTTTCCCTTTCTCCTTCCTGCCCCCCATGCTGCCTCTAGTGGGAGGCGGAAACTGGTTAGCTTCTGGAAACGGTAGGCATAAGGGGTTAGAAGAGAAACAGAACAGAGAAAAGAAGCCAACCAACACATGTGCACATGCACCCCTCCCGCTGCAGCTTCCCAGCCCTAGTCCAGAAAGGCGAGAGATTGAAGGCTAAATCAAATCTCCAATGCTGAGTCACACCTGGGACTAGTCCTTTCAGTTGCAGATTTGAGACAATGTTGGCAGTTTAAGGATTTCCATTGTCCCCAAAAGCAGCAAAAACTTCTTTGCACCTGAGGAGTTTTCACCCTCTAGCAGAGGAAAAGCTTTCCTACTAAATAGTGTAAAGAATTAGTAGAAAATAGAAATAGAGCTACCATTTGATATTAACTAGCTGTACTTGTGCAACTTGTCAGTTAGCATTTTAACTACATCAACCCCAACTATTTGTGCAAATGTATACAGTAGCTGGATAGTTCAAAAATCATTTTCTGCTAGGCTCTGCAACACAATACACTGGGTCCTTGAGAGCCAATTGATCTCCTTCAGGGCAATTGGCTCAGACTTATACTAAAAGATAAAATGAAAAATCAGTGTGTTAACACAAGATCTGAATGTTAATTGACGTGACTTGGAACTTGGTTCTCTGTGTTTCTCTATACCCAGGGTCAGTCCAAGACGACAAGTCAGAAGACCTCAGGCTCTGACATCCTTGTCCAACAGTCTCACAGCTACGTGGCCACGCTCCATAGCAGAGGTCCACAAATATTCTATATAGGGCCACAGTCAATATTTTAGGTTTTATATACTAGCTACAATTTTTGCTGCATATTCTTGTGTTTGTTTTTAACAACTCTTTTAAAACATAAAAATTTGGGGGTGACCGGTTAGCTCAGTTGGTTAGAGCGTGGTGCCGATAACACCAAGGTTCCCGGTTCGATCCCCGCATGGGCCACTGTGAGCTGTGTCCTCCCTAAAAGAGTCAACTATGCCATTGTAGCATGAAAGCAATGTGTAACCAATGACCATGGCTGTTCCCCAATAAAACAAAACAAAGCAAAACAAAAAACTGTTCTTAGCTCATGGACCATACAAAACCAAGCTGGAGGACTGGAGTCTGCCCACAGACCATCTGCAGTCGGCTGACCCCTCCTCTGTGTTAATGTGTTTAAATTCTTCCTCTGTCCATTCCATGCAGTGGGTCACTGAGAGCTGAGTAACCCCCTCTACCTCTGTGCTGCCCAATACGGCAAGTCACGGGCCATATGTCATATGGCTATTTGAATTGAATTAAAAGGAAATAAAATGTAAAATTCCATTCCTCAGTCACACTAGCCACATGGAAAGGGCTCAGTAGCCACATGTGGGTGGTGCAGCTACGGAACATTTCCATGATCTCAGCGAGTTCTTTGGGGCGATGCTGCTCAAGGTCCATTTGGAGGTGTCTGGTTTGAGAGAGGGAGCTGAGGTTTCACTGGTGAGACCCCAAGTAGGAGAGGGATGGGCGAGGAGGAGGAAGACAGGTGAGGGCCGGCCACTGCTCACATGTTGACGATGTTCTTGACGTTGAAGTTCTCCAAGGGAGCCAGGTCAGGGTCCACGCCTCTATCATCCTGGAGGACAATCTGCTGGAGGATGCGGTCCAGAAGCTGCCACTGCTGGAAGTAGCCACCGTTCCGCTTGTCTGAAGGACAATACGCATCATATCTTTACTGAGCCCCAGAGCCCCCTGGAGTCTTGCCCAGGCTGGTGACACATGCCCTTCCCCTCCCTCGCCAAGTTCCCAGTCTGATAGGGGAGGCAATGCAGTTGCTGATGTTGGAGAAGCACAAAATCACATTTCTTGATTCTCTGCAATTGACCCTCTATGAATGTGTCAACCCTCTCAACATATTTCTTTACTCTCTGAAATGTTTCCTGGCTGCCTTTCTTCCCTGTTGGTATCTGAGCATCCTATGTGCTGGGAATGTAAATTGATTTTTACATTATCGGGAAAAAAAGCAGCTTTAAGAAAGTAAATCTGCTCCAAAATATTACATGCTAAATAATAAAGTCTCCAGGGAAATTTAAAAAAAAAAGGAGGGGGGAGGGTGTTAGGATTATCTATGTTACTATTCTACAGGGACAGATGAATGGAAACTAATTATAGGTATGCACTGAGAGGGCGTCAGACTGGGTTGGAGAAGTGGTAATCAAATCCAGGAAGGTTTTTTATTGAAGGTCACCCTGAACTAGAAAGCAAAGGCCCTGTTGTGCCTGATCGCCCAGGGCCCCACTCTCATCCCTTCTAATCATAACCTGGCTGGACAAGAACTTTCTTTTCCCATGATAGCCACAAGCTTCTCTTCACTGGTTCCTGATCTACAATACTTCATCTCTACTGACCACCAAGGGCCATCAACCAGCATGATCTTGACCTTGAAGTCAAACCATCAAAGCCTATGAGATGGAAGGTCATGTCTGCAAAGCCCTATTCTGAGGCAGAATAGAGAGACCCACATATATTGCGGGTGGAACACCAAACACAGGAACCCGTGAGAGCAGAAGTCAAGTTTCCCAGGGACTTCATATGTCTTCCATCAAAACCTTCTGGACTGACTTTTGAAGAACTGAGAGCTTCCTAGTCCAGGCCACTGTGTCTATCTTCCTTCCACCATCCCACTGACACAGGCATTGCAAATTGGCATCATTTTCCATTTACCTTTCACCCAGGAAAACAGGGTCAAGCCAGGTCACTGGCTGACAAAAGTAGAACATGTTTCATGTAAAGCCTGACCCTGAAGAAACAAAAATTCTTTCCTATGTAAGGACTTGCTCAGCCTCAAGTTCATCCACTGGAAACTGGAGATAATAATGCACACTCTGTAAGTCATTCTGAGGTTTAGAGACACCGTACTGAAGAACCTCACATCACACCTGGCCCAGAGCTGGCACACAATAAATTGTCATTGTTGTCACCATCACCACCATCACCACCACTAAAGAGTCTGTCTAGGTTGACCATGATGGTGGCCCACTCTACTTTTCTAAATATTCTCTTTGCGAAGAGCTAAAATACCAAATGGTGAAAGCTCATTGCAAATTGCATGCTGGGGTGACTATTAGTAATCACGCACAATTTATGCAGTCACTGTGCACACCTGGATCTTAAGAGCTCAGCATCTGCTCCTGTAGATGCTGACATTTGGTATTTGTAAAGAGAGGCAGGGGTGAGGGTGTTAGGGTGGGAACCAGCAAGGACTAAATGGAGGAATTGACTTTTAGGAAAAAAAATCCCTGCTCATTCCACATCTGTGCTACTCCCCCAAACACAAAATGTCTTTTTGCAACTCCCCAAGAGGGCTGATCACTCCCCTCAGGAGCTGGCAGCCAGAGCTGTTTGATTTCACAGGGATCAAGATACCACTTGTTGGCATGGCCAGGCCAAGTCCCCAGCAAGTCCCCAAGGTGACAGTGGAAATCTTGACTTCAAGGAGGGAGGGACCAGGGGCCTGAGTTCTGGCGTGGTCTCCCAGGCACACGTGCAGAAGAAGACAGGGTGAGACACCCCACCCTAGGAGGCCCTGATGCCTTGTCTCAACCTGCCCTGGGCCAGGGCTCAGGTCGGCTGAGGGAAGCAGCAAATGCAGGCTACTCACAGGGCATCTGCAGGCAGTGGTGCAGAAAAGACAGCAGGCAGGGGTAGGCCTCCGTGTGCTTCAGCTTCTTGTGGATCAGCTCAAACATCTGGGAAGCACTCTTGGTGTCGATGTGGACCTGGGGGAGGGGAGGGCGCAGTGACTGGGGAGAGGGAAGGCAGCGGAGGAAGAGGACAGGCGAGAGAAGACCCTGCGTCCACCCACTGAGCCCCAACCCCCAGGAGAGTGTACATCCCCCTGCTGCTGGCCCAGGCTTCAAAAAAGAGGAGGGAGGTGTGCTAAATTTATAAACCAGGGTTTCTCAGTCGCGGCATTACTGGCATCTTGGATTGGATGATTTTTGTTGTAGGGGCTGCCCTGTTCGTTGTAGGGTGTTTGGCAGCATCCCTGGCCTCTGTCTATCAGATGCCAGTGGTATCCTCCTTCTACCAGCTGTGACAACTTAAAAATGCCTCAAGACATGATAAACGTCCTGAGAAGGGGGGTGCAAAGTTGCCCTTGGTTGAGAACTACTCATTCAAACCAAGGGAAGTAAGCAGGGGCATACATGGTTCCAGAAGCATGTGGCATAGGTCCAAAACCTGGGTTCAAACCCTGGACCTGCTCTCTAGTTGTGTGACAAGAGGCAGGCTGCTCGTCCTCTCTGACCTCGGTTTCTGTATGTATAAATCCAGGGCTTCTGAGAGAATGTAATGGGACGGTGCTCGGTGGCTGAAGCACCACCCAAAAGTAGGTTTCTAGTGGGATAGGGTTTTATGGTACAATAGTTAAGCAGCAGAATTGTGTACTTCCAGGGTTACTAAGGCTAAAATGAAATTATGATTTTGTTTACTAAGCATGATCTGGTTAGTGATGGTGAGAGGTGACTCAGGAAATTGCTGGAAGGCAGAGGGAAAATAGTACCGGAGAGGCATTGGAGACTAATTGTGTGTAAGAACTGACTCTTTTTCCTTTGGGGGCGTGGTCCCCTAGGGGGTAGATACTTCACCAGTTAAGGCCCGCCAGGTGAGGCCCACCAGGTAAGCCCACTAGAGCCATCCTACTGCCAGGGCTCCAGAAGCAGGGCCTGGCCATGGCGGCACCCACCAGGGAACCCAGCCAACACTGGACCTACCACAGCACAGCATCTGGAGAAGTGGCTGTGGGGCCACCTGGGACCCCACTGCAGTCACCTCACCCCAGCAGGCTCCTCACCATGTCAAACTTCCTGGCTAGCTCCAGGTCATCCTCGTTCCGCACCATCTCGAAGAAGTCTAAATGCCTAGACAGTATGGGAGTATAGAGAGCTCAGACATCCCTGGTTGAGGGTTACAGCCCCTTGGAGCACCTCACCAGCTAAACCTGAAAGCTTCATTCAGATGGGACCAATACCAAACCAGAAAGAAGTCAGCTATCTGTCAGCTGACACGCTCTGCCTTTATCCCATGCCCCAACCCAGGGCCCATCACCTTAATCAGGCTTTGTCAACACTGGGCAATACTGACATTTGGGGTTGGGTTATCCTTGTTTACGGGAGGCTAACCTGAGAGTTGCAGGAGGTCCAGCAGCCTCTCTGACCTCCTCCCGCTATCCATAGCACCACCCACCTGGAGTTGTGACAACCAAAAATGTCCCTAGGCATGGCCAAGTGTCCCTTGGGGGATAAAGTCGCTCCCAGTCAAGGACTACTGCCCTACATATACCTTCCCTAGTGTTCTCATACTGTCCCCGCGTCATCCCTCAAAGTCAATCTCTTATCTTCTACCCCGTTCATGCCCCTACTCCACCTCAAAGGGATCCATCCTCTCTCCCTTAAGACCCAGTGTAATAAAGTAGGCTGTACCGACGGGACAGAACCAGAGGGGACTCACTGGTAACACATGGGAATGTAATTGTGCCCTTTGATCAACGAGGACCTTTATGGCTTGCCTTTTGAGTGGGTATTTCTTTGCTGAGCAGGGGTGCACACTGAGCATCCCTGGCCCCTAACAATCAATGCCAATAGTGCCCCCACCAGCCAGTATGAAAACCAAAGTACACTCCCACGTGTCTCCAAATGTCCCCCAGAGGGCAGTACTACCATGGTTGAAGACTACAGGGCCCACCTGTCTATAACATCAGAGATGAAATGGCAGGTC